TTCAAAATTATTTTACACCACACGAGATGGTGAGATAATGAGAAATTTGTCCAACACACCTCTTCTGTCTCTATTGACCACGATTTTAATTAATATAGAGAGAAATATATTAACACCAGTCATGGTGAAATAATAGAGTCTACGAAACCTTCTGAATTCGATAATAACAAGGTCAGTTTTATATTTGAATTCCTCTATTTTCAACTAGTGAGATATGATCTATATATACAGGGTGGTCCGGGTCGTGATACATAAAATTCAACAGTGTGTTGTACTCATTGGAATAATAAAATAATTACATAAACTTATACCCTTGAACGTGTCGTTTTCGAGATAAAGGGTGTTGAAGATACGAGTCTGAATATTGTTTTTTGATGAAAACTTCGAAACGGTTAGAGAACAGAATTTCTTATAGATATTACAATGTTTATGCCCTATTAGAAAAACTATTTTATGAAGTGATTCAGTGGTGACTGGATCTGGAGGTGGTAAAGGAAAAAAATCACTAAAATTTTTATTTCTGCATTATATTTCCCATTTTTCGAGTACAACGTATGAAAACAGATAGATTTCTGCGTATAATAGTTCTGTTGTATGTTTTCAATGCGTTACAACGTTTTCGAATTGAACCAGATCAATAATATGAGAAATCTAAGCTAATAAAAAATAATAACTGGACAAACACAATCAAACTTTAATTTCCTTTCCCTATATATACCCCCAGGTTCAGCTGCTACTGAATTACTTCATCATCTTATAGATCGTTAAAAGTTAATATCTGTTGGAAATTTTGTTGATTTATCTCAAACCATTTCGAACTTTTCATCAAGAAACAATATTCAGACTCCGATTTTCAACACTCTATATCTCGAAAACGACGCGATTAAAAGTATATGTTCACATGAACTTTTTTATCATTTCAACAGGTACAACACCACACTGTTGAATTTTTCGTATTCCAAACCGGACCACCCTGTATACATAACTAATATACAAGGTGATTCTGTGGCAAGTACCATAGAATTCTTCGAAAATGCTGGGTTTTTTATAATCGAATGAGGATCCTAGAGAAGAATGATTCTTGAGTGATTTCAACAAAAATGCTTCATATGAAAATAGGTCTACGAAAGTTTAATTCTTGAGATAAGTTGGAATTTCACAAAAAAAATTTCTCAACATCACTGAAATCGCTTTGTTTATCAATTTTGGTACATATGCATTTTTTTATTCATCAATGGCGTTCCTGTTAACATGCCATTTCAGTCTTTTGGAACAAAAGTATGCATACGAAGTGACATGGTGTATTCAGTGAGTTTTCTTCTACTTCTCAACGGAACCTGCACAGCTTTTCCAGAGCTGATACTATCAAGCTCCTTTGTGTCCCTTCTATTCTAGATACTATATGCACTAGTCCTGTATTCTTCATTGTTCTGGGCTGAATTCACTTATTAATAAATGTCTCTACACTTACTTTCGCAACTATGACGTATCAGTTTGTGTAGCCGTAAACCAATTGTTAATTGCACCTTGTGAGGGTGTCGGGCATTTTCAGAGAACACATACTAGTTTATAAAACATTGAATAATCGTTGAAATGACGTTTACTGGTCGAAAACGGCCACATTCAGAGTTGGTGAAAAAAAGAGAAAGTAACACATCATTTAGACATTTTATTCCCAACAATTACATTGCATTGATCTACAACCACTATCGAATGTATCAAACGTTGAAGCAAAAAGTTGATACTTTCAAGCAATAACACGTCATTATATTCTAATGAAACGACACCTTGGTAGAAAAATCTCCAGAAATAACCTGTTCATAACGTTAGAAAAATAATAGATTGAAATAACAAATTATTGGAAAGGAATATTCTCAGATATATGAAAAAGAAATATAGAGAATATAGAATATTCCATCTCAGTATACTTTCATACCCAATACAATCAATGGGTTCAAACTTGAACGATGGAAATTTGTTTTAACAGACCTCTAATCACAGATTCGTAATTGCGTTTCCTCAATTCAGAATTTCTTTCCACGAGCTGTATGATGGATATCAATTGATCATTCACTATAAACAACAAAGCAACGTTGAAAATTCACATATTTATAACTTTAGGTGTTCTTCATACGTCGTTTGATCGTGAACCGATAATGTTGAAAATACGTTGAAAATTGGTCAAATATGTTTGTGTGCTGGTTGAAAACTGGGAGAGCGGAACATAGTGGTTGTTGTTGGTCGTACCTATGTATAAACCCATTAACTCCCAATGGTGCATTCACGCACCGCAATTTTGTTATTTTTTTGCAGGCAATATAATGTTGATATCGCGAAAATCAGTCGTTATCAACTTACAGTGTTCTCATACTGTTGAAAAAAAATATATAATGTTATATCAGAGAAAAAAAATCAGATGTTAGTGTACTTCGAAATAGGGTGAAAATTACTTTGGCTATATACATTTCGTTACCACTGACAAAATGTGACTTTGGAAAAAGATTTTCTATCCCAGTTTTCATCAATGTGTAGTCTTTTAGTGACTCAATATACAAAAACATAGGTGCGTTCGCGCACCACTGGTATCCTGCGTGAGCTCCAACAATATTTCGACATGCTCAGACAAAATTTACTTAGCTGTAAGCCTTGCTCAGAATGATCCATATCCAATTCGTAAGTGGTGTGGGATAGTTTTTCGCATATTGTAGTGACTAAAAATGTCTTCAGAAACTTTTTGACCCAAAGAAAACTTCAATCAGATTTAGAGGAAGCAATTGATGAACTGGAATTGGAGGGACATGAAGGTAGTTATGAATATTCATATTCATATCAATGTACAACCAATTCATCACGTGAAACGATATGATCGAACGGAGATAAAAGAAGTCAATATACCCCAGCCTCATGCCATCACCGAATACAGAAGATCCATGGAAGGGGTTGACCTCCATGACAATGGTATGGCAAATCATAGATGTAGAGTGTTGGGGAAGAAATGGTGGTGGCCCATGTTTCGCAATGCTCTAGATAGTATAATTGTCAATGCTTGGAAGCTCTACAATGTGGCCAATCGAACCAAAATGTCACAAATTGAATTCAAATCATACGTTGCTCTACGTCTCTTGAAAAATGAGAGAGTATACGTAGTGAGAAATATACTTCGCTCTGTTGCTGAAATTCGTTTCGATAACATTGGCCATATTCTTATTCCTCATGAGAATAAAGCTCGAAGAAAATATAGAGTTTGTCATAACCACTTATTTATATTTGTCGAAAATGTAACGAACATTTGCACCTATCATGCTTCGCAAAATATCACCCAAGGTAGATTATTCGATTGTTACTTCTTACCAGTGGTTTGTTCGTGCACCAATGAGCAAACTGAGATGACCTAGTTTATTTTCAACTTGTTGGGGCCCAACTATTTTATTCTTCATTTTAGTGTATGATTGTCACTCTTCATTAGCAATTTAATGCTTCGAACTAGTTTTTCGGAAATTTTGAAAAAATATGTTCTTACTTTTCTTGCCAGTGGTGCGTGTATGAACCATCTCAATTTTTTGTGTAGTTAGTTATTTTCATTGTCGATGATCACGAAAACAAATTTCAGAATGTAAGATAATGAATATTTTCTGTCTACAACGCGTGTTTTCATATTTTTCGTATACTTGGGATTAAATGGGTAACAACGAAAGCAAGAATGAGTGGTTTTCTATCGAGTATCAGAATGAGGTTGGATGAGAGTTGAAATGTGTGATTGGTGAGAGAAGGAAGATAGAGGATGTCAATACGTTGATAAATGATGTGAAATAACGGTGCATTTGACAGTCCGTGTCGCGATGGTCAGCACTGAGTACAAGTCAAGGACTCAAATGACTGTGGAATTGAATGCAAGTGTCGCGGTGGTCCTAGGAGTGAGCGACGTAATCAAATAGCGACAATATTGAATGTCCTTGTCGTGGAGTTACTAGGAATGAGCGACGGATTCAAATAAAGGTGGATTCGAATGTCCGTGTCGCGAAGGCACAAGAAATGAACGACGGGTTCAAATAAGTGTGGATTTGATCGCCCGTATCAAGAACGCAAATTCCGTATGTGTGAGTGCTGGGGCGATTGTTGAGAGATTATCCCAACTGATTGATAACCGGAAATGGAATGTTCGAATTCTCGAGAGTATCACAACTATAGATCGATAGTGTGGAGGGCCGAACCCGATCTCACGAATGGTCGTGTAGAAACAAAATATGCTCGAATATCTTACTATCGATTATCTGTCTGGGATACCACCACATCGACCTTAGGTGCTGTGAAATGGGTTACACCAATGTTTCAGTAGCTGGTTGGTGATTTTGGTCAACCCAACCCAATCCGATTTCCTTTTCCTTCCACGCCAATCTCATTCCTCTTCAATACATAACAAAGCGATGATGCTAGAGAGGGTTCACCATCGGCGACAGAAGGCTCGAAATAGATCTATGTAACATCCGTGGTCAAAGTAAGTACATCAACTATGTCCATCGACACCTTCTGACTTAGATGCTCTGTCCTGGGTTCTAGCTTCACACACGCTTCAGGTTCGAGAAAGGTATCTGCCTCTATTCTAAAACGAATCTCTACAAACTCTGAAACCAAATAAGTTCGATGTTATGTGATTAGCCAAAAACAGACCAAATATCTCTGTTATCTCTACTTATCACCAAAAAATTAATCGTACGAAGAGCTCATGTCTCTCAAGCTTGACCAAATTCAACAGAACCATCCAGCAGTAGAAATCATCATCATGGGCGACTATTCGAAGTCTGTAGAATACACGCTAAAAATATTAGCTCCCGCTTAGAAGATTCAAAGTAGTAGTTATATAAGTGTTTTCAACCTGAATTTGGCAGTGATATTCATAAAGTGGTAATCAATGATCACACGAAATTTTGAAGCAATCCATTAACCAGAAGGTGAAAAACATCGATATTATCGAATCCGTAGGTATCGCAAGGTATACAATAATGGATCTACAAATCGAAAGTTTATCGCTAGAAGAAAAAGTGAACCTTATCTTGAAGACGGTAATAAAAACCGAGAATGAGGAGCTAAAAAAGAGGGTCAATCACCTGGAGAATCATCTCAACAGACTTGAAAAGATGGCAATACAAAAGAATGTGTTTGTATACGGAATTCCCTCAGATGAACATGAAAATGTGGAGAATATCGAGAAAAAAGTTTTGGAAGTGATACACAGGAATTTAGATCTCCCATCGATTTCAGAATTGGACCTGGAAATGACTCGACGAATAGGTAGAAAAGGCGATATCTTAGTAACATTCTCATCTCTCAAAGCAAAAAGCAAAGTTATGCAAAAATCTAAGAATCTCATGAATACACCTTTTGCAATAAGCCACCACTATACCCAACAAGCAAGACAAGAAAGAAAATTATTGAACGGACACCTGGAAAATGCCCTCAAAACAGGGCTGAGAGCCCAAATTAAAAATAATCGGTTGGTGATTGATGACAAAACATTCACCTTGGAGGAATGTTCCACATTGCCGGTGTTAACAGCGAATTCAGCTGATGAACCCGTCAGAGAAAACATTCCAGGAAGAGTAGGAAGACCCAACACGCGCAGCAACTCGTCAGGAGGTGTCTCCACCGCGAGCAATCGCCATCAGAACGTGAAAACTGGATACAAGACGGCTACGAAGGAAAAGTAGCAAATGAAAAACCTCACTTTATAACATTACAATATACAAAGTATCCGGAACAAAATCAACGAAATAGACATTCTCACTAACGAACACTCGGAAATAGATATTTTGTGTTTTTCCGAACAATGGTTATTAGAAGATGAAATTCATTCAGTAGTGCTTCGAAATTATCAGTTATAATCATATTCCTGTAGAAATACTTTGAAAGGTGGTGGGGTTTCAATTTATGCCAAAAAATGGTTAGATCTAGAATGCTTGGAAGTTAATTCCTCAAAAAGTGTCGAAAAGGACTGTGAATTCGCATGTGCTGCGACAAAAAGTTTCAATTGGTAGTCATATGCCTGTATAGATCACCCTCGGGTAAGTTAGATATGTTTCTAGATATCTTCTGGAATATATTTGGTTACTCACTCTGACATCCACAGCTACGATACTAGAAATAAGGATTCATACATTTTACCAAATTTCAAACATGAATATAAACCGAAATAATGTTTTCTATACAGGCACTAAAATATCCAGATGCCTTCCTAACTCAATCACACACTGTGATAATATCAAAGTATTCAAGCATAAATTGAAATCTCTCCTCCTCCAATATGTTTCATATAACCTGAATGAATTCTACCAAGTTGACACATAATGTAAATAATTCCAAATTCCAACGAATTCATAAAAATTGTACAGACTTCCCTTTCCTTACACTTTTGTTTTCGAGGAAATAAAATTATTACATTACATATTATTACAATGTACACAATACTGCTTGGCTCGTACACTCCATCAAAGCGGATAGAGCTGGGTGACAAACTGATTGGCATCACTCACGGTTTAGAGCAACTCATCAAGGTACCTACAAGGATTCTCGATGTCAACAATGATTCAGTCAACACCACTCGACTTATTCCTCACTAACAATTGAGCACCTTACATCATAGATGTACGAGCTCCACTTGGCAACTCTGATCACACACTCATCTCCACAACCTACCCAACTCCACCAAGTACTACAGCACCTTCACGTCTTGAGTGGCATTTGAGACGGTCTCCGCATTTTTTTTTCGAGTTTCTTCTTCGAATAATATCCATTGATTCTGAGGATCCTTCACAATGTGCCGATTGAATATCCGAGATCATCACGCTTGGAATGGACACATATACCTCATTCTTCGAAAAGACCATCAGCTTAGAATCCTTGGTTTAACAACAACTGTTCTAGAGCTGTTGCCTTGGAACAAATAGCCACCATCACAGGCGCAAATACCCCAACCTCTTGACTAGAACAGAAAATGATGAATACAGGAATAGCTGCAGCTAAACGATAAATGCCTCAAGAGAATCATTGAATGCCAAAATGAGATCGAAACTCATGAATTGTTCCAATGGCTCCCGTTCATTTTTGTCCCTTGCATCAGAAGTCGAAAGGAGTTCCACCAATAGTTCATTTCCATCACTCTCCACAGCCGACGGCATATCAGGCAAGAGAAAGCGAACATTTTTGCAGAGATGTTTGCAGCAAACTCCACCTTGGATTCCTAGGGAAGAGGGCCACCAGACATTTCACCCGTTGAAAGTCGAATGCCCGAAATTGTCTTCCGCCAACGCACTATCAGACGCATTCTACTAGGTCTGAAAACTAAGAAGTCTGATGGTCCTGATTGAAGCTGTTTACCATGTCTGATAGGTCGGGTATCATTTCATCTTGCTGGAAAATAGCTAGAGTACAACCAATCTTCAAAAAAGGTAACAACAAAAGCCTGCCCAACAACAATAGGAAAATTGTGCTGCTATCAGTCATCTCCAAAGTGACGGACAACGCCCACAACATTGAGCTCATCAAATGTCTGGAAAGCTTAGGAATTATTATTGATACGCAATTTGGCTTTCGCCACCGAAGATCAAATGGAGATTTGCTTGCTTACGTCACTCCCATATGGCAAAGCTTCATTGAAAAAATATGGGGAATGGCTATCCAGCTGTGGCGTTAGATATATCGAAAACATTCGACCGTGTTTGGCACCAAGTACTCATAGAAAATACCCTCGAATAGATGCAATCTCCCTTAGTGACGTACAGAACAACGACTTCAGCGCTAACATAAGGATGGGCGTTTCGGAAGCCGAAATAATTCGACCATTGACAGTCGCGGCGGCAACTTCTGAATTTCAGAATCGATGAAGTTCGAAAATCATTCTTTCATGTTACTGCATAACAATAAAGAAATAAGAACTGTGTAAAATGAACTTCATCGTCTCAAACAACGATATTGTTCAGCTTCATTCGATTATTAAGTCAAAGGTGGAGTCTATTTTCATCATGATCAAGTCAAACACAGTGTAGTATGGAGAGGAATAAATAATCACTATCATCATTGTTGATATGCTCACTAACCTAACATTTTCCACGTCTTGTTCCTATAGCTGGCACTGGCGCGGTATTTGCCATTAGAGCACCTGGTCCATACACAAATATGTCACTCTGTGGTTGTATTCATATTGAAACTACATTCCGAACATCCTTGAAAACCTAACCTGCTGTTAATGCAGGTAGAATATTCTTACCACATGGATTATTTGTCAATATTTGTTGCATTGCATACATATGGTACGGCATTGGTGGTTACTTCACATGTTTATTCGAGTTGATTGTTTCGGTTGCAGAAAAAATAGCATGTTTCATTTTGATCAAAAGTGACTTTGTTCGACCCGCAAATTTTGCTCTCGCGCGGCTTCGCAAATGCAAAATTCGCTTGTCAAACAAAGTGTCACTTTTGATCCTAATAAAACAATCTACTATTTTCTAGTAACTTCATTATTTATTGACTTCATATTTTCACAATTAGCTGGAATCTGTGAAGTCCAATAACATATTATTTATATTTATCAAAGCAATTTCATCAAGAATTTCACATATCAACATATTTCATCAGTACCACTATCATCAGGAGCCAACATGATTTAGTCTCCATAGGATTATTAAATCAAAGTAAGGTTATTATATTATTGTATGATAGCCTTTCGCTAACTGTATTCGAGATATAATTGAATGTTGACTAGAAAAGCAGTAATGGCGGCACAACAATACTGACAGCTGACTTTAAAACTTGACGATAGGTATCTATTCAATTGCCATCTATCGGGTTGGATACTTCACTATTTCAGACAGTCTCGGTACGAGACATATGGGATTAAATTCTATTTGAGGGACGTTTTCTATGCCAAGGACGGCTCCACAAACGACCATCATACGGCTTACTATCTCAGCTATGCCAAATTTCATCAAGTTTTCTTTCAGGCAGATCGCTCCATGTGGTAGTTTACGGTCTATCACCATTGCCATTAACTGCGGCGTTCCACAAGGATCAATTTTGGCACCAAAATTGTTTCTACTTCATATCTACAATCTATTGGGAGCAACCACTTGCCCTATCCACATCTTTGCAAACGATAGTACTCTCCATACTGCGTTCTCCTCTATAATTCCCATTTCTTTCCAGGAAAATAAGAACTTTCTAAGAAGACAAGTCAACGCTGCCAATGAAGATCTTGAAGAAATTACAGCCTGGGGAACCAACAAACCTAGTTGAGAATGCAACGCCACTGAAACTCAAGCCTGTATTTTCTCTAGAAAGGCGGAAGTTATTATGCCTGATATAACAATGACTGGTACCGCTCCATTCCCACCAAGACGACTATGGTATTGCCATTAGCAATATTCCTTCATAGGAAAACATGATCGAACAATCGCAAAAGCTGCTTCACAAAAATTCGGATTCTTGTTTTGTGCGAAAATATACTTCACACCCCAACAGCTTCATAATATGATCTACAAAGCACAGATACTGCCAGTTTCAGAATATTCTTCTCATGTATGGGGTTCAGCACCCAAACATACGCTGATGCTCTTAGGTTTCATCCAGAGAATAGCCATTCGCCTAGTGGGTGAGGCCAAACCCACTTACTCTTTGACGTCATCGAAACACCGTAGAAAAGCCGGAGACCTTCCACTTTCCCATAGATACTAATTTTTCATTTGAAATGAAGGTATGAAGATTATCATGCTAATCCGATGAAACTAAACAAATATGATCATACAAACTGAAATTAGGAGATTCACGTCCGTACACAACAAAAGGGTTTCAGGTCATTGAAGTCGATAAGATATTCCAATATCAATCATGAATTGACTAGGTACCGGGCTGATTGCTTTGATAGCTGCTTGAATGTTGGAGTTTATGGCGATTGCTTGAAATCTTGCCGAAGTAATTCTTCTACATGATGTTCTATGACCGCTATTTCTGCTTGGGACACAGATGCATGTTAATCAAGGCTGATCGAGATCATAATCCTACTTCGAGCCTCACATTCTCCTCTGTTGTCTCGGCTGCACCTTTCTCCTAATATTTTCGTACAGTTTACTATGGTTTGTATTGAGTAATTGGCTTATTAGTGTTCGCCCACGCAGTAACCTATGATCTGTACTATTGTGACGGTGGTAGGTCTAATAATACCTTCAAGGCTGCAGCCAAGGTAGTCTTTCAGCTCCTTTATCTCAACAAATGGAATCTTGACTCCAAAGTAGTACTGATGCATTTTGACCAACACATTTTAATCTTCATTATCTTTCCTATATCTTAATTTTAAAGGGATAGTCTATTGGAAGTTATGGTACAGTAAACATAATTATGTTCTTGACTTAAGTATCCAATATATCTTGTAGATATCTGAGCACATACAGATAAAAATGGGGAAATTGGTACGTGCAGATATAGATGAAAGGTCGGTTGTCTTTGATATGGTGGGAAAGATTGATATTTTATGCGTTCTTCTACACTTCATGCACTTTCATTGCGATGTAGACCAGATAAATAAATACATTTGTTCACACCTATTTTCGAGATAAATATATCATGATCTAATTAATATGAATTATCAT